TAACTTTTCCGCGGCCGCTATAATCCCATCGCGATATCATGCGGCAATTGCGGAAGCCCACGCTCGCGCGCGCGCGCGCTCACGCGAGTGTGCTCCTCGCTATCCCCTGTTAATGCGCTAATTGATAAAAATCCACGGTTTACTCTCCCGCCGCGTGCGTGCTCGGCTTGCATTTAGCGTCGGGCACTTTTACCTGAGATCTCGCGAGTTTATAAACCCGGCACGTCGAGAGATTAACGCCCGATTAATTGGTTCCGCCTGTAAAATATTCGTTATGCGCTTCGAGTGTAGATATGCGCTATTTTCTCACAATGTGAAATTCGAGTGGTAAGAGATCGTTCGCTTGCGCGCGAGATCGTAGCCTGATCATTGTTTATATATATATATATATATATATATATATATATATATATATATGTATATACGACGAAATAAAATCGGAAATCGCTTCAATTTTATTCCGTCGTAAAACGCGTCTTCCATGCTGCCGCCGCCACCACGCCGTTCCGGCCGGCGGCTTCCTCGCGGCCGCGCCGCCGAGAAGCGATCGTCTTCTTCGCGTCTCGGATGGAATTCTCTTGGCGCGGCTCGCGGTCGTAAAAGGCACGAGAATACGCCCCTCGCGGTTAATACCGGCGGGACGGCGGTGCTGAACTTTCGATTTCGCGCCTCCCTCGCGTTTCCGAGATTTATGCAAATCTCGGAGGTGCGCGAAAGACGTATGGGTGAGAGTGTAAGAGAGTGAGAGAGAGAATGAGAGAGCATCGCGGGATGCAACACGAGTCCAAGATCCGCGTGGAAGTCCATATATACGAGCGTTTGCGCGCGTTTCGCGACGTATTTCTGGCTGTAAATCAACGGGTTATGCATAGGGAAGGCACAGAGAGCGCGGCCGCCACTTCCGCCCGACAACGTTTAACATTCAGCGTTCCTCTTCACCCACTACTGAACTCCGACACACTGCCGGAGTGACTTAAGTCGCGCTCGAGGCTGCGTGTAATCGCTCGGTCATGACGAATGGTCTCCGACCATGAAGTGCCGCGGAGCACCGGCGACGGGGCTATGTTGTTCTTTGTTATTTATCGAGACGCGTTTAATTATCATGCAAAGGTAGCTTCAAGCTCCATAAACTCGTTAAGTCCGCGTTACTAAAGCGTTTCAACGCAACATCATCCGGCGATTTCCGTTTATGGAAAAAAAGATGCCGTGAGGATTTCTTAAAAATGCATTTAAATTATACTATTATTGTCTAATAAATCAATATATTTCTTTGGAAAATTAATCACATGTGTGATTAACGCCGTGATTATTTCTTATATAATTTAGAATAGGAAAATATAGTTTTTTACTTTATTGCTGATAATGTCAGATAAATTTCCAACTTTACGTTAAAATTAGACGTTAAAATATCGCGATTATTCGCTAGAGTAATTTTGCAGCTACAACGCTTGGGGCGTTTGAAAGAAAGAGAAAATCGGTTCATATTTTTTTCACGAGAATGTTGTACCATAAGTTTAGCTGCGAGAGATAAAATCGTCGTAATTTCGTTCGGATCACCATGGTGAACTGCAGCCGGTCTAACATATATATATATATATATAATTTTTTTCGGAGCGGCACTCCCACGTCATGGAGGAAGTCACGAGCGCGCTTTCACGATGTATTTACCTGGCTGTAAAGATACGTCCGCGGTTTTTTTTTCTTTTTTTTCGTCCGTGCGACTCGGACGGAGACCCGAGCGCATAAAGCCAAGTCTATGAGTAGCTGATAGACAACTCGATCCGGCGCACGACGTGAAAAGAAAACGATCCGAACGAAGAGCGAAGGGTCAAAGGGGTTCAGTCGTGAGGGAGCCGCGGCACTGTGCTCGCGGAAATCCTCTTCTTCAAAAAGTGTTAATAAAGTTGCGCTAAGTAATACCAGATGTTGCGGCAACATCACGCTGGCTATTCCCGCGCTTGTGTAAATTTCAATAATAACAGGACGCGACGAAGGAGGCGCAGTGTTGAACTTAAAGCCGAGTGGCGCGAGATTAGAGGTATATAATCACATCGCGCGCGCAGCTTCCAGCACCGCTTGTACCAAACCGTACACTCCTGTACGTAAATACTCATTATCGATTAGTAGCGACGGTGAGGTTATTCCTTCGCGATGCGTAGCGAAGCAGGATACAAAGTCCTAACACGCGAGGAGAGCAGCGTGTACACGTTTCGTGCGAAACGTAGGAAAAGGTCAACGCATTGGTACACGCCAGGCGGAAACATGAAAATTGATCTTTCCAGCGTGTGTCGTCGCAACACGAACGTAACTATTGGTTGAGAATAAGTATCCGTGTATGAGAGATAAAGTACAAAGTATACAAATATATAGAGTTAGGGTTGTTTTTTAATTAAAAAAGTAACAGCAAAAGCAAGTTTTGAATCCGCGCACGGAACAGAGACCGTGCTCTGCCAGCGAAGGAACATTGTACGGACCGCGCATTCAATCTGTGTATGTTTAGCTAGAAAAAATCATTCTCATGCAGCTCATTATTAGCTTTCGCATAATCCCGCGCGCGATCAGGCGCGCTCACACGCGTGCATTCATGCCCGGCGATTAATCCGCCCAGCGCGTATTGACCAACACCTTGACACGAATCGCTTGGTGCGTGCAACACACAAGGGGGTTGCGCCGGGATTAGGGGCGGACTTCGTTAGCCGGCAATTGTAACCAAACACGAAGAATTATGATACGACACGAAATCTAGTGAAAAAGAAATAGAAAGATAGAAATTTTTACTTGACGACAGCAAAAATCTCTGACGTACAGCGAGCGCCGATATACCTGCAAACATTGCAGCCATATAGTAACTGATTTCTAACGACGGCTGAGCGGATTATATCGGTGTAGTGTGTCTTACAATATTTGAGGTCTTCGTTTTCTGGCCTCAGCTGTTTGTCGTTCTTACAAAGCGGTATCTCGACTTTCGCCGTTCTGCCTCGCGCGAGCGAAGTGAGTCCGCTCGTCGACGTAATCGCGTCCCACGCCAATCCGGCGTTCGTGTATTTGTAATTCATGGCGGCTCATTGAAAAAAAAAAGTATTGTCAGGCGTTATGCTAATACGAGAGCGAGGGTATTATTCACGGCCGTACGTCACTGACCACCTACCTGCGCGGCCGACGTAACTGAATAATACCGTGTTAGCGCGTGTTTGTCCCTTCCAGTTTTTCCTCTGTCTTTCTTTCTTCCTCCATGAACCGGGAACGAGGTTTTCCTCTCCTTTTCTCTCTTCCTCGCTTGTCTATTTCGTTGGCCGATGGCGTCGAGGGAATCGTCACGAAGATTCGTACATTCGCGTACGTTTCTGCATGCGCGCTAGACATTCTCGCGAATCGTACCTCGCGGTATTGCGAGTCGCGGGACGATATTAAATTATAATTCGCGACACGCTCTGCCGCGTTACCTCATACTTTCCTTCACTATTTATAGGCCGACGCTAGCTCGCTTCGCTCGTTCGTTCGTACTTCTTGCCAGCGAGAGCTATGAACCGGCGCCGGGAGAGCCGAGCGAGCGCACGCTAACACGCTCGCCGAGCGCGATTACGGCCGTGAGAAATCGTTGTTGCCGGTGTGGCAGATGCAACGCGTGTGGATATACGCCGCACCCGAAGAAAATTGAAACGTTCCTATGTAGATTATGCGCGCGCGCGCGCGCGCGCGCGCGCGAGGTCGCGTCTATTCCTGCGCGTTGAGTAATACCTGCCGAACGGTCCTTGCTACATCATATCGCATCGTCGTTACCTTTTTCCGTCGCAATATTCGATGTTTTACAAGAAACAGCGAGTATTAATAGATATAAAATTAAAATAATTATTGCGCGAATTTTATTTTATTTTATTTTATCGTCAAAATCTATAATAAAAAATATTAATTTAAAAATTAATTAAATTCATAAATTATACTTTTCTAATATTCTCTTGAAGAGGCGGGATTATTATTCTGCATTTATTTTTTCTAAATTTTACGTCAATATCTACTTCTATGAATCGTTGATCAAACTCGCGTGCAGTTCACGTCGTTCTCTGTCTCTCAGGATAAACTTGGTTTCATTGTTAAATCGCCACCCACAATCATCTGTTACTTTCTTTTTACGGGCTTAGGTTAAATCACCATGCCTATCTACAGCTGTATACATACGTGTATGCAGTTAGGCGTGAATAAATAAGCGGAAAAATGTGCGCGCGTATTATTCGCCTCCTCGAGCTACGAGAAAATTTCGATGTCGTATAAATGTTGCAAAAAAAATGTAATTGCTCAATTCAGTTGTCTTTCGATCGCTAGATAGGAATAGAAGTCACGAATAAATTGGAATGCGTTAAACGAATATCATAAATAATATTTTTAGAACTGGAAAAAAGGCGCTTAAATTGTAGTTGTCTGCGAAGAAATCTCTAGTCAATCCATTAGTTGTAATATACTTCGTGTGCACACGCTGTTACGCAACCACCGCAATCGTTTTAATCCCAGATCGAGTTTCCGATACAATTCCGCGCGCACAATCGATCATCGTGATCGATACGTCGTGTCAAAGGCCGGAATGCGACGGGTAGTTAATTCCGTATGGCATCTTCGTGTGCGATTTTGCTATTCATTAACCGTATTTTTCTTGTCCCGATATATATTTCAATCTTTTGATCATTTTTTTTTTAAAGCTCAAAACGGTATAGATTTTATTTCTAAGATGTATCCTCACATTAACGAATTAAAATTTATCTTTCAAAAATTTACGATTAACAAAAAATAAAATAATTTTTCTCTGATTTTAATTAAAAATAGAATTACTTAATAGAGAGTTTTTAATCTCTTCCAGAATTATATTTTCAAATCAACTTCGTTGATTTGGATTTTTTTTTGTTCAAGAAAGAAATGCCTCTCAGTCTCATTTCTTACTAAACTCGTTTACGTAAGTGAGCACGAGAGTATAAGCAAATATGCAGCATACCATCTGAGATTGTACTCACCAGGATAGCCTTCCGGGATGACTATTTCCGGTCCCACTTTGACGTCGTGACGGTAACGATGCATCAGCAGCGTAGCCGTGACTCTAAGCGATCTCTGCTGTTGCTTGTACAGGAGTATCGGCCTTCCACCGGCACCTTCGACCCTGACCACCCTTGGCAGTGAGAATCTGTCCAGGAACTCGCGCAGTGGCATGAAACCACCGCCGGAACCCGCGGCCTCGGCGGTCGCCTCTCTCGAGCTCGGCAACGAGTCCTCGCCGGTTCCGGTGGCTTCGCCGCTCGACATTGTCGAAAATTCACCACTCGACGACATCGCGACGCACGGTGTATCTCTCACGATACTTTGCACCTCAAAACTCGCTCCTTTTTTTTTCGTTCTCTTACATTTCACCAGTCCGCACGATGGAATATATGCGTTTCACGTTGTCGAAAAATTTTGCTTGTTTCACAAAGTGTCAGAAATCAGATGTATTACTCTTGGTCCGCATACTTGATAAAAACAGCACACTGTCTAACTCGGAAATAAGTTCGTTGCATATAACCCTAAATAGAAAAACATAATCGTATTACTTCGATTGTTTAAGAAGAATTTGTTTTAATTCTCGTTTCAAAACAATTTTTTAATAACTTTAGAACGATTTATAACGCGACGGAAAAACTTCAAGGAATTGCTGTAATGCGAATAAAACGCGATTCTCGCAATAAGTAGCTCGTTTTCTGTTCCCCAGCAATGTCGGCACAAAATGTATTCCCCTTTTCCCCGTTATTTCAACCATCCTCGATGGAATTCGTCATTTTCGCGAGGCATGACAGTCTTGACAGTGATGCGCTAGCGGCGAGCCGCGCGAACCTAATGAGTGATTACGCTTTGGACGCCTTGACTATGATGATGATGATGAATTTATGACGATGATTATCTCCCGTGGCATACCGGTGTGTCGCCACTGGTGTTTGTCTTTCAGACGAGCGGCTCTATGTCGCGGTGAAACGTGGGCGGAATGGTAAAAGCGGCATTCTCTGTGCTACCTGCGAAATGTCGCCTCTCTTTGAAGTCGTAACGGCAGAAAATGCGGCAGGAAAGAAGACGAAATGTATTAGAGCGAATGATGGATAATTTATCAATATCACATACCATAATTATTATTACCTGAATATTGACCTAATCTTTTTGTAATTGAAACCTTTGTATCAATTAATTAATAATCAATTAATAATTTGGTGTACCGCTAAACGAGAGCGTTAGTTTTACTTTCGCTTCGATCTATTTCGTTCATTAATATACCGGTCGCCTAGAGAGCTACTACTCATGTGCTCAATCATTATTACTTTCTCCGGTCTCTACAGAGGTTTTCGTCTCTAATCCGACTCGCTCGTCGATTCTTCGCATCCCCGGGATTTTCACGTAATTAGGAACGATGATTTGTGTCTGTTAGCAGCGACCGAGAGCGACGTGGAATATAATTTATTCATGCTCGCTGTCACATACACACAGCGTCCATAATGCACTTTCTTGAGTGACTTGCACCTGCGACATTCCACGGGCTGCGCGCATTCGCGGCGATATTGCGTACATCGCATACGAATGACGAGAATTAATATTCTACATATGTAAGGTACGACGCGGAGGAGGGACCACCGACTCTCCGGGCATTATCCGCGATTCCGGTCATGAATACGCATGAGAATGGGGGAATTCTTTTTTCCTTTTTTTTTTTGTCTTTTTGTGAACCCGCGCGACTTCTTCCTCGTTCATTCCGCGATAGAAAATGTTTCCACCGGTGAAACTTCTGTAATCGCCATGTAATGGGGTTTTAATTACCTGTGACTAAAGCGACCGTGACGAAGGTATCGTGAATTATTACGGCGGCCAGAGTACGCATCGCGTAAACCTCCGTTTTTCCGTGTTTCTTGCGCCGCCGTCTGTTTGTCCTATTAGATTATTAATCCCCCGCGTATTAATATGCGCCATGTAGGTACGAATTCCGTTCGTGTGCACGATCTTTTACAGAAATCACGTCTCCATCTTCTGCTGTGTAAGATTCGCGAGAATTATTAGTCCAAAGAAGAATAGTTTATTTGCTAATCTTCATTCAATTAAAATATTCAATTCAAATATTGCACTTGTAAAACTTACATTAACTAATTATGTTACGTTACTTTTGAGCTTTTCGAACTTGTAATATTAAGTAGGTAACCACTCGTGAGGAACGCGAGAAATTGCCGCTGTAAGGTCCTCTTTTTTTATAGGGCTTGGAAAAGATGTTGGAAGTTCTAAAAAAGTTTGAAGGGCAAGGAAATGCTAGATTTTACCTATACAGGTTTTTTATCTTTAGTGTACGTATAGGTAATCTCTTGTCCCAAGGGATACATTCTTGATGTAGATACCTGAGACGAAGGTTGACTGGAGAGTTTCCCATTTCTTCAAATGGGTGCGTGGACAATCACGGATACATTTCTAATGGACAATTCAACCATTTCAACCGAAATTTTTAAAGGGACTATAAACGACTGTAACGGACGGGGACTGGTTCTTTGTCAAGACTTTTCGAATTTCACTCTTTATAGACTCTTGTCTCCCATCTATTGTCCGCGGTATGAAGATGATGTACGTCACGTTATGATAGACGTTAAGTGCTAAAACGTCCGTTCTGTCGAACATGTAAACCTGACGAGAAACGAATTGCGAGAATTCGCGCGATATCGAGTAATTAAGCCGGCCATTCACGCAGAGTCCAAGTTAAAAAGCCTCGACGCATTTCCGTGCATAATAGATACATACGTAAGTGAAAGTGCACATTTAGCAATTCGCCTATTAGTGGCTCTATTCTAAGCTGCAAATGTTTTATGTTTTTCACGCGGCGTTGTGCGCGCATTGCGAACGTCCCCTGACGTAATTTTCCTACAGAAGACCCATCGTGCCGCCACAGGCACGTAACCCTGCCAGCCAGATTTTAATCGAGCTTATGAAAGTTTCTGCGTGTTGCGCGCAACACTTTCTAATGATATGATGATTAATTAAATACCAGGAACAAAGCGCAGGGGATTTTAATTTGTGTATAAGTTAATAGGAACACACCTTCCGCGTGAGGATCTGATTTGCTTCAGCTCAGTGAAAGTAAATCGTTCGCTAATCGAATATCGAAGATTTTCGAATCGTTACTAATTAACGTCTTGCATATTTACAAAATGCACTAACGATTTATATAATTATAATTTACAGATCTTATTTCTAAGTTCCACGGATATAATATAAAGTGCATAATAAAATTTAATAATGTCCTGTATGATTTTTTGGAAATAGTTTAAAATTTTAATGGTATATCTATACTTTTATCTTTTTGGCTAAGTTCAGGGGGCGCGCTATCAAAGCGCTATTGTATCATTTTATCGTTCATTAAACATGAAACAAGGACAAAATAATACTATAGCGCTAATAACACCCTCCCCGAACACAGCCTTTGTAATATATTTATTCTTTGTTTGTTACTCCATGTTCGAGGACATGAATAGATAGGAAGAACAACGATTATCATGGACGAACTCCACTTCGATCGTCCATTCGATCGTCACAATGTTCCAACCTTTATATATTCGTTATTTTCACGATTTTTAGAGCACGGTCCCGCTACTCGGGTCAAATCAGATCCGATTCCATTCACTGTAATTATTCTTCTCACTCACCTCGTCGATCATCGAAACTTAACGAAGCTCCGTCGTATTCATCGAAAGCGGCAAATTCATATGAGGCATTCGTCTCACACGCGTGTGCAAACGAAGAACCGATGCACGTGTCGTGATCGCCCGACATAGAGGATCCGTGTTTTCGTAAAGATGTTACGCGAACTTACGTCTTGAATAACGTCGTCGACGTCATCATCGATGAAACGATGTTGAAGTAAAGATTCGGAACCATCCATTGAATTCTCTCGCGGCTCGAACACGCGATTAAGCGATCACGTGGAATTTTTGTACACGAAGAAAATGGAGATTTCCGGTGAACCACTCGGTCCTCTTTCGGAAGGATCGAATGTACAGGACCGCGATCGATCCATCGAACTACGCAACGACCGGTCGATCGAAGCGTAGTCGCCAGAAGAGCTCGACGAGGAGCGCCCCGACACTTCGGACGAGATCGCGCGACTAAAGTTCGCAAACGGCAGAGACGCGGCCGCCGCCGCGGTGCGCTAACGCCGAGTCGTGTCTCCCCACTTCGTGGATCCCCAGTTCAAATAAACTGTATCGCGCAGGCTCGCGTGATACGCTCGGGAATCACTCGCCGAGTCGCCTAAGTATTTTCCTTCTTTTCCTGCCGTGACCCCCGCGACTCCTTTCCTCGATCAGCTTGAAACTTCCGTTTCCGCACGATTTCCCGGTATTCCGCGCCTGGCGAAATCCGCATGTTGAGAGCGTTCGCAGAGATCTCGACGGATTGCAATTTTAGATGGTATATAATCCTCGAAATTAGACTGTTGTTTAAATGGTTACAATTTTTATTTTTTATTTTTAATTTTTTTTTCAAGGTTTTATTTTTTTAAATTGTCACGAATAATTAATGAATAATTTATTAATTATATTATTATCAGCATCACTCGAAAACGTCGTGGAATCTATGTTTATTACTTGATATATTCTAAACTTAGATTAGATTAGATTAGAAACTTGTTAGATCCTGAGAGTTCTGGATTCTTGAATGACCTAGATCTCTTTTAATTCTCCTTACTTCTCTCAGTTTCCCAGTTAAACTTTCGGCTCGGGCTGAATCGACAGCAAATCCGTCTGATTTTGATTGGCAATCAAATCACGAACGTGATATTTGCTCACATAATTAATGGGTTGCGTATTATGTACCGTGTGTAACCAATTACTGTGCGTTGGTACCCTGTAATTTGAAATTTCACGTTGAATTCGAGAGGTCCGTGACTTGTAACCTTCGTATACCTTCGTGAACCCGCAAACTGGAATGCCAAGATCATAGTCGCGTGACTTTTCACTGCTGTTTTTTCTCATTGACACGGCGCGTTGCTCGCGCGCAGGGCGCAATACATAGCTGCTGCTGCATCCATCACCGTGAAATCGTCTCTCCCGTCGTCGGACATCCAAGACAGTCGGCAATTACAAGGACGCAATATAACAGTTAATATCGAGTTATTATAAGTATCGAGGTAATACACGCCGACTTAAATGACTTACGCTATGTCCGCCATATGTTTCGCCGAGCAGATGGTGTGCCACTTTCCGCGAATCCGCGAGGTGGACCGCTACGCGGCGAATTACGTAACAATGATCGCCGTCGCGAATCAAAAATATCGATTTTTTTTTCACCACCGCGGTTTTCGTAACTGTATCCGAATAAGTGTGTCGCGCCTGACCCCTTTATTTGTTTGAAACTGGCATCTCTTGTCCTCAGCTGTCGCCGAGGCTCGCGAACGTCGTCCTCCTTCGCGCAAATTATTATTTTATCGTGAATTTACTCGCGACGTGGACGAACTTAAATTGTTAGAGAATTCCTCCAGGAAAGTATGTCTTCGATAAGCAAAAAATCTCAAACGTTACGTGACTGTTTCATTCTCTTGAAAAAAGCGCGCGCGTCTCGAGAAATATTTGTTAACAAAAGATTTATGGAAGATTTTGTGGTGGAAAGGTTTAAGGAAATGAAGGCTCTAAAATTTGGAAAATAGATTTATTTTTACTCTTATAATTTATGTTCATTGTATTTCTACGGACGTCTTACAAATTTCCTGTGTCGCGAAGTTATCTTGAAAGCTTAAAATTCAACGCACAGACGGCTCATGCGTGTGCGATTTCCTAGACTCTTTGCGCTTCGTTAGCAAGTACTTTCACATGCCTAGGTGCACACGCCCAGCTATCCGATAATTAGCTCGGAACGCGGGAATATTAATGTCTGTGTTTAGGAGAGAGAAACGTTGCGCGAGTGTCATTGTCTTCGTAATTGTCGTTCCGCCGCGAAATGATTATTGACTCGAGGGAACGCTGATTATAGCGACCGGGCACCAAGCGCCTCATTGTTTTCTCCGCGGAGCGTCATTAATATCTTTTCGCTCTATGCCGGATCGGGTCAAAGATCGGGAGGAGTATCCGCTGTAGAGCCCGTCATAGAGATGTTTTGAATTTCATTAAGTGATATCGCGATTGTGTCCTATCATGGGCTCGATGCGCCTTGCATTTTTACGGCCGGTGCGTGACCGTCATTTTCTCTCCAGGACGCACTTTGCACGCGTGATAAAAGACGAGCGAGCGCAACGAATAAATAATCGAATCGGCGATGATCTCAGTTTCCGGTTAGCGATTTTTAGAATGTGAATGCGCGGCGCCGCCGCCGTCACTTTTCCTCGCGTATCAGCGACGAGGAATCGCGGGGACTGATTTACGAGAGAGTTTTAACACGACCGTTGCGCACAGTTAATGATTTTTAAATTGGCACGACCGGTTAATTATTTCTATATCGGCTCGTCTCCGTCCGTCGCGCTTCGTTAGGTAACGACGATTTAATTCGCCGCGCACGGGGTCAATATTCCTTACCGAGGCGTCACGGGGTCCCTCGCTACCACGGACGGTACACACGGAAGCATATCGTACATCACCGGCAAGACGGATGACCTTCCGAAGGTCAGCGCCTTTGCTCCCCGCCGTCGATGGATACTCGGCCGTATATATGGTATACACGGTGTATACCCGTCCTACGCCTTCTTGTAAGGCTACACGATAGAGAGGGAAGAGGCTAATTGGAATCCCCACCGACTAAATATAAAATGGCCAGATCGGCGTAATGACATGGAAAAGCGGCGGTTAAACGACTTCGGCCTTTCTTCCGCGTGCGTGCCTCGTCATTACGCGATCGGAGTATGCCAATCGTTAGTCGTCGTCCCGCAGAGCGAGTCTCACGCGATCGATCGATGGCCGGACGAAACTCGAACCGGCCGCGGCCGGCCGGCCGTCGTCGTCGTCCTCGTTGTCGTCGTCGTTATAACTGTTCGCGTTGGCGAATTAATTCGTGAATTAACGGCGCATTGTTTCGCCGCCGGCGGCGTGGCTCGCCGAGATCTCACGGTTGGGATATCTTTATGTAAACTGCTCCGTGACTGGTATCCTCGAGACACCTCCGAGATGACTACCGAAGGATATCTGGTTCTCTCTCTCTCTCTCTTTCCCCGGCCAGTCCCCGCCTAATTAAAGTCAGGTAGCGGTAATCGTTGCGCTAGATTGCCTTCACGTGTACATCGTCATTTGTTATTTCCAGCTGATTATTACGCTCTTACAAACTTAGATCGCGCTTACTTGCGTCCAAGAGAAATTGCGCAACGGAACATGTTATCGTTCATTACTGGGGAATATCAAGAAATCAATATTAACTGTAACAATTCGCACTATTGCACTTGCTAGTATGATAAAGAAGAATATTGTGTGTCTCGTTATATATTATATATTACTTTTTCAATCAAAATTAATTTTTTTAGTTTGTAATTGGCCAACATTTTTTTCTATGGCAATAAAATCCATTTTGATATAATAATTATACAAAACTGAATAATAATTCCTCTCGAGCGATAATATTCTTTTAAACGTCTGTGAATTTAGTACCTCTACCATAAAAAAATCGAATATATGTCATAATAAAGTGCCAATTTATTGCTCCTATCAATTTACAGGAAATAAATACCAAAAGTGGGAATGCTGACTTTTACGTTACGCTAGCACTCCCGAAAAACACGTTTAGAATACTGTAAACATAAAACAGGTATACTAAAAATTGTTTGCTAATTTTTTTGTTTTAAGGTAATGCAAAGAAATATCGAAAATTTTGAATAATTATACTAATATCAATTATTTATAACAATATAAGAGTAAAACGGTAAAAAATACGAATCTATTTAATTATATAAGTTTCTAAACTATTTCTCGAATCAAATATATGCGAAACATGTTACTTTGGAATTTATTGCTCGCGAAACAGTTTAAAAATTATCATATCCTGACTTACAATTAGTATAGATCTCAATCGGTAGAAACGAATGTAAGAACGCCTAAAAAAACAAAAATGCGCATATCATAATTAATAATAATAATGACATTTTGTAACGTAATTATTATAATTCGCGGCGCACAATGCATGTCGTTATACATATATTGAACGTGTGATAATTAATGATAATTAAGAATAGTATATATACGGCTGATGTTCCGCTATCTCTCTCTCTCTCTCTCTCTCTCTCCCTCTCCCTCTTCCTTTTTCTCTTTCTTGAACGCAGAAAAATTGGCATGCCTCAAGACTCGTTGATCATTCTATATATAACCATGAAGATTCTAAAAGGACGGCTCTTAATGAAAATGTCAGGGCCCGGGCAAAAAGGTACGGGCAAGCGGAATTATTCGATACTCATTGCAGCAGACCCATTGCAGCCTCCATCGGCGCGCGATACGTGCCACTTCTTGTCACTAATTTTTCACCGTCTTCGTTGATTTGCGCTCCGCCAATGTTATACTTCTCGTCACGGACACTTCTCTTCGATCGCGCGCGTCGCGAACGTATATACGTACTTGGCCGCGCGTTTCACGAGTTCCTCGCGCTTTCGACATTCTCGCCGGCGGAATCACCTGCATGCAGGTAATTGGGATTCTGTGGCGCGTAGTAATCTCCTATCGATCTCTTATTATTCGCGGAAGACGTGCCTTTTCCAGAGGTGGAGAACGCTTCTGCGGTTCGCAGAAGCGTTATGAAGCGAACGTCAATTCCGGGCGCACCGCTGAGTCCTTTGCCACAACTCCGCCGCAAAGATTATAGCAATTTCCCCTTTTATAAGTACCCAACTCGCGTTTTGTCGCGGTGACGTTAAAAGCGTACCAGGAATTGTAGCGAAGAAAATCGGCGTTGAAAACGTTAAGACTAATCGGGAAGATTGTATAGATACACAATGAACTACAATAGCGCACTTTCTATCAATAAAAAAAAAAATAATAATAACGCTGAAGAATTTCAAAACTCAATTAACCATCGCGTAAATTATCTCTGAAAAAATCCTTACAAATTCCGTATAAAATTGTTGATTCATAATTGTTTTGTATCGTACGAGGGCACTTTAATCTGTACATCAGATTAGTATTACTCAACACGTCTCAG